GACCTTGCAGATGGCGGCCCAATGCGTCACCACCAGGCCACCAGGGTTCCCTCTTGTTTTATGAGGGGCCCAATAACACACCTTAGAATCACCAGCCGCTGGGGAGCCAGAGGGCAGCCTGTGACCCCAGGACAGAGTTCAGAGGAGGAGGGTGGAAACAGGAACCACAGGGCAGGCGTGGGGTGCGTGATGGGGTGTTGTGGGTGCTAGTGGGGCACACCGTGTGTCTGAACTGGTAGCCGGTCTGCTCTGAAAGGCCCTGCTGAGCAGTTAGTGTGAGTAGCACAGACTCTGTGGGCGCCTCCTGGTGGGGTCCCCTTCTAAGGTTGGCCGCCCTCTCCCCACCAGCCTTCACCACGGCCAAATACGAGAAGGTGCAGCAGGAGCGGGAGGAGCTGGAGAAGCGCTTCGAGGCCGAGGTGCGGGGGCTGCGCTGGCAGCAGCAGGAGGTGCTCCGGGCGCTGGAGGAGCGGCTGCAGCTGCAGTTTGAGGCCGAGGTGCTGCGGATGCAGGAGGAGCACCAGGGCCAGCTGCTGAGGATCCGCTGTCAGCACGAGGAGCAGGTCAGTGGCCGCATCCCACATCCCTGTCCTCATGGTCGCTGTCACTGCCTGGGAAGACCCAAGGGGCGGGGGCCACTGCAGCCATCAGCCACAGCTGTAGCAAGAAGCCCTTGTGGTAGGTTGGCGTCCAGTCTCTGCCCACCTGCCTTCTCTCCCCCTCCCTTTCTCTCCCCTGGGGCTGGGAATGCTCTCCCTTCACATCCTCTATGGCTCCCATACTCCCTTCAAAAGTTTTCCCCATGACATGTTTCTCTCTCCCTTCCTCCCTCCCTCTCTCTTTCACCTTCCTGCCTCTCCATCTCTCTCTGCTTGTCTCCCTCTCTCCCCTCCTGTGTTAGACAGGATTCTCTAGAGAAACAAAACCAGGACACTTATGGTTTATAGATATGATGATAGATATATACAACACAAAGTTCTGTAACAGCCACTTAGTCCACACAGCAGTACAGAGGGCTCAGCTCAACTCATGTCTGTGGAACAGTTAGTATACTGGCTGTCCTTCAACTCATGAGGGCTGTTGGGTCCAAGGTCAAAGAAGTAGAAAACGGAGTCTTCTGTAGGGCAATGCAGGCAGTCCGGCCACAGGTGGCAAAGAGCAGGGCGGGTCATCAACAATCAGCGAGATGACAGGATCCAATAGTCCCCAGCTCAAGTGATGTGTACACCAGCAGCATGGTGAAGCAGGTCTCAAAGCAACCTCAAACTCTAGTGGCACGGTCCACAGGTTGGCAGTCCCACAGGTAGTGTAGCTCACAAGTTGAGGCAGAGAACCAGCTAAGGCAGCCGCACACTGGTCTGATCATCAGAGAGCAAGAGAGAGAGAGGTGAGACTCGCCGAGCCATTTATCTCTTTGCCCTCCAATTAAAATGTGACCTGATTAATCCCACATTTTCTTACTGGCCAGGTTGGCACAGTAAACTTACCTATCACACCTCCCCTTCTCTCTTTCTCTCCTCCCTCTGTCCCTCCTGCCCTCCCTCCCTTCACTATTTCTTCCTCCTCCTCCCCTTCCTTCTCCTCCTCCCCTTATTTTAAACGCCATGCGATCGCTGCTGTGGAGAAGGGCACAGCCAATCTGACCGTCCCTCCATACTCGCCCATCTGCAGCATGGAAGAGAGTCTTCGAGATGTGGGGCTGCCCTCACCCTATGGTGTGATTTCAGGTTTAAAGGTGACCACTCAGTTCAGGGGTTCATCCACTCTCCTTGACTCCAGAAAACCCGAAGCTTTCGAGATGTTCACGTTCTGTCCTGCATATTCCCCCTTTGATCAGGATGCTTCTATAACGATATACGTGGACTTTTTTTTAAAAGACAACCTGAGCAGGTTTTATTGTTGATGTTGTTGTTTCCCAAAGGGACAGTTACAAAGCAGGGGGTAAGGGGATCAGAGGGGGAGTGCAGGAAATTGAGGCTGGCAGCAGATTTTTCA